CCCCAAAACCCCAAAACCCCAAAACCCCATGGTTAAACTGTGAAACAATTTTTAATAATTTAAATTAGACTTTTAATAAAATGGTCAAAAATCAAATTTAAGCTATGAATTCTGAATTATTATAAATTATACTAGAAAATTATGGAAAGCAGAAACAGGGATAGTTCATTACAAGGAAAGTATAAGAAAATGGGATAGCACTTCGTATCTAGAAGGCTCTTATCGATTGGAATCAATAACTATACATAATTCGCAACTACTTTTAAAACTGATTTAAAGACGTCATAGTCTGATGCAATGAGGATAACAAATCTATTCCTCAAAGATATCAAATACCGTAAAGTAGAACCAATAATAGATAAAAATTTAAAGAATCCATGGTAAAAAGTTTAAGAAAAAATTGAAGAAATCGAGAGTCATGCTAAAGGATAATAATATAATGAATCTTATTAGAGAGCACTTTATGTAATCTATTATGCTGGGCATGGGGTAACTAGTTTATACAAAGAAACATTTGGAGCGATTCCTTATTTTGAAGAAAAGACAAATACTGAAACTGGAGAAAAAATTGAATAAAAAGAAGTTAAGTATTTCAATTTCACAGATTTTGCAACTAAGATGTCTGGCTATAATAACACTGTCACAGTTATAATTTTGGATTGCTGTAGAGAATATAAAAAGGAATTAAATGATGTGCTAATTAAAGGGGAAAACTATCCCAATTCGATGGCTGGAGTATCATATTTAATTCATGCAGTACCAGAGAGATAAAAGGCTGCAGCTGATGAAACAGGTGGTCTCTTTACAACATAATTACTTAATCTGATTAAACAGTATGGAGAGATTGGTATCCATAGTTAAATAGTGTTTGAACAGATAAACAATAATGTATAAACAATTTCCAGCTAGTCGAATGAGAAGATCGGCTACTATAATATCTTTGGACCACGAAAAGAAAATATCTTGGATGATCTTAGTTATAAAGACTATGATGATGATAATTAAAGTATATTTGATGGTAGTAGCTCTTCAAGACTATCTAATCTTAGCTTAAATGATTCTAGAACCTCATTTGATACTATTAATAGAAATGATACCTGGGACTCTTTTTCCTAAAGCAGTATGACTGATAGATCATAAATTTAAGATTAATAAAGTACAGGATAAGTGGTTTTAACTAGAAAATTTCAAAGGAAAAAGAAAGCTGTTGTTGTCCACGGTCCTATCAATCTTGAAATATCTCCCTAACCTTTAGAACTCATTTAAAACTTCAATAAATATTACACTTGCTATATGGAGATATTTGATGATAAGCCCTGTATCAGTGATTAATACAACATGAGATATGTCAAGATTCAGGATGTCTATAAGATTTAGGATTCTTTAAAGTATATTTGCAAGCCTTGCTACTTGCGATATCTAGAAAATATCAAGATTAGTGTGATAATTGGAGAGTTAAGTATGATTTCCAACTTCTAGGAGAACTTTATTACTTCAAAATTAATCAAATCAAAGGCATCAGAGCCCTCTCTTTTCCTTTTGAAAAACAAATCATTCTTGTTAGATGAAAGAGATGATGGTGGTGAACTAAGAACAACATACATCATTGAGAAATTTCTTCCTAAGTATTCAGAAGAGGTATTCTAGCAACTCCTTCAGAAATCTCATAGCCTTTAATTCATTTGGTTGACTGAAAGGATATTTCTAGTCTTTACTAATCTTACTGAATTAAATATACTTAAGTTGGGGGCTAGGGAATACTTAGATTAGTATTACAAGGAAGATCACTTAAAAGAAAGGAATAGATTACTCATTGTTTAAGTTCCAACTTTGATAAAGTATTCATAAGTTATCTCAGATTTTTATTTGAAGTAATCTACTGACTATCCAGCATTAGCGAGATATGATCGCTAGATATTTATTGCCGGAGGTCATAATAATTTAATGTGGATGCAATATCTAATTAGTTATGATCTTGCTTCAGAATAATAAAATCTTCTGCATTAATTTGAAGATATCTTGTAAACTCCAACCTTGCTTTGCAATAAATTGCAGGGGGTTGACGGAAATTAAAGTGGATTGTAATTTTTCTATTTGGGCTAAGATTAAAAATTCACTAAAATGAACTACTACTTTATGCCAGATTCGAACTCAGAAAATAAGAACAAAGATTAGAGTTAAAATGAGGTTCAGGTAATCTGCTTAAATACAGAATCAATTAACAAACAACTTTAGGAATTAAATTTCACTTATTCATACCCAGCTATGTTTATTTTCTAAGGATGCTACCTAGTATTATTTGGAGGTATTGACATTGACTCACTTGAAACTACCAACAGATTGCTAGTCATTGACATTGAAGATTTTGCTAACCCCAAAATTACTGAAATTGATCAAGAAAATTCAGATAAAGAGGGATAGAATTATAAAGATTACTTCTTTGGAAACCAAATATTATCTGATTAGTTTTAGACTTTCAGCTTGAGAGGAGATCATGGAATTTATAAAGTGAGTTTCAAAAAATTGCCAAGAGAGGACATAACTATTTCTATAGTAAAAGTAATCACTTTTTGATTATTTCGATTATTTCAAATTAAAAACATCATAATTTAGCATGAAGGGGTTTTGGGGTTTTGGGGTTTTGGGG